CAGTGGCGTAGCGTGGGGGGTGCAGGGGAGGCCGGCCGCACCGGGCGCGACATCTGGGGTTAGGGCAAATCCACGGGTTAGGGGGCGCAAATTACTTGCCTTGCCCCGGGTGCTGACAACCCACGCTACGCCACTGGGCGGGGTTGCAGTTTTGCAAAACAATTTAGCCTATTGCCTTGCAATAAACAACAATGGACCCCTAACACCTCTTGTCTCTGAGTTTTATTGGCGTAAACTCAGAAGATAAGCCATTTTTACTTACAACAAATCCATGTCTCAAAACAAGGATTGGTGATGCCTCCCCAGATGCTGCTATTGTCTGTGGGTTGACTGTGATGCCACAAAAACATTTGGCAGTTTCTTAGCACCCACACTGTAAATTGTAAAATAAAACATTAAAAATGGCACCCTCAGAAACCCTCCTTAGCACCAAGGCCCCCTGACCCTCCCATTTTTAAAAAGTTTTCTCAAAATCTGTTAGTTTTTGCAGTGCTGCAACACCCTTTAAAAGTGGGTCAGGGGGCCTTGGTGCTAAGGAGGGTTTCTGAGGGTGCCATGGAGTCCACGTGCCACCCTGGGAACCTCAGTCTGGACCCTTAAGTTGAAGCGAATCACCAGTCTCTACATAATGGGAACACCACATTAACCCCACAAGAGAGGTTGGTCTTTGTTCTCGGCTGGGAGCAGAGGTAACAATTGGGAGAGTGAGGAGCTGCAGGCACAGCAGGTGAGAGATGCTCTCAGGTTGTCCTTGTTGCAATCCAAAGGGCTGGGACGTGCCTCCTCATCCAGCTCCCCAAGGCCACCTGCATGACACATACCTCCCAAAGAAGAGAATTACAGAGTCTCGTGTGCCTTCAATTTTGGGAGAAGCTTCTCAAAGTAATATTTGCTCCCTTACGGGTGATGGCTTACCTCTCCCTTCTGTTTTAGCTGATTCTGGAAAAACAAAACACCGTGGGTACAAAAAATTGGATTGTTGATATTCTCCTGTGTTTTGGCAGGTGAGTTCATTGGAGTGTTAAATAAATTTATCTCAACAACACAAATGAGGGATGTGGTTATTTAGCAAATGCAGGGGAAGGCTAAGTGGACAAGAGTTTTCCTATTTGTTCTTTGACTGTTTGTGCATTAAATTGTGTAGAGTTGTGATGGAAGTTTATAAAATGAGACATGGCCTGGAGAACGTGGATAGAGGAAAGTTTTTCTCCCTCTCTCATAATGCTAGAACTCACAGAGCTGAACGGTGGAAGATTCAGGACACATCAAAGAAAGGAAGTCCTTCTTTATGAAGTGCACACTATGGAACTCCCTGCCACAAGAGGCCACCAATTTGCAACTTCCACTCAGGATTTTCCCAAGGCTAAGCCCACTTCAGAGAGCATACTCTGCACCCACCTCAAATGCTTTGGCCTGGTTGGGAGGTTTCCTTGAATGGCGATTCTCCATCTTGCCCTGTGTTATGATTCCATGCTTCCCCCCACTCTTCCAGTGGTGCTAACGTCCCCCTGGCCTCAAATGCCCCCTGACTGCTCACCACAACCCCGTACGTCTCCGCCGTCACCTCAGCCACGCAGCCACTCGGCAGGCACTCGCCTGGGGCGCAGCTCCGGGGACCTGGAAATGTTGGGACGGTTAATGGCGAGCCTCCAAGCCCTGGGGCAGTCTATCTGGTCGGCCCGGTTTCGGGGAGGGGAAAAGAAAGCCTTACTTTGGGGGTCACAGTTCCTAAACTGCATGTTGTCCAATGGCCACGCCTGGCACTGAGGTCACCTTTGGAGGGGGAGGCAGTGCTCTTGACAGGAGCCGTCCAGGGAGGACGAGGAGTCCAAGACCCACCTGGAAAGGGCCACCAACTCTTCCGGTGTATGCCAGCTTGCGTGTTACGTTTCTGGTGGTTTCTTCTTTTCCTTGTGTTTGTTCAGTTTGGAGTGGTTCTGCTTCTATTCGTGATTTTGACGTTTTTTCTTTGTTTTGGCTTATTTTTCTTCGTTTCGTGTTTTTGGGTGAACATGCTGTCATGGTTTTTCATTGTTTGTGTTTGGGTACTGCTTCATTTCGCGGGGGGTGGGGAAATGTTCTATTGTGTTATTGTCAATATTGTGTCAATTTCATGTCAGTGATAATTTTGAAAAGCAAGCAGACCACCCCAAACCAAGGAAACACCAGAAATGCAGAAAATTCACTAGAAATCCCCACTGTATAGTAAAATGCTATGTATTGCTTGTGTGTTATGTTTCTACTGAATTTATTTTCAGTATTTAACTTGTTTTTTGGGTGGTTCTTTTCAAATAATTTATGCGTTTCTGGTGGTTTCCTTGGTTTGAGGTGGTTTCCTTCCTTTTTAAAATTATGAATAACTTATAAATGACACGATATCACCAGAAACACAAAAATTGGAACCCCCTCCCAGAAATGACAAAACACCAGAGGAGACACAAAAACAATGAAAAACCACCACCATAATGCTGAATTCACCACAAAACATGAAAGAAACAAATAATTCAAACCAAAGTAATCATGAAAGCCAATTGAGGAGAAGCAGAATCACCCTAATCTGAAGACGCAACACAGGGAGAAGCAAAATCTCTAGAAACGTAACATGAATGCCACACATAGCATATCAGTTTAGCCTGGTTTGGGGGTTGCTAGTGAATTTCTTTTTCAGTACAGTATTTTGCTTGGTGTTCACAGGACCACAAGGTGACTGTTAGGTGTCGCACTCCAGTGGCACCTTTAAAGATATTTATGTATAGCCACTGGATCGAGGCCTCTACTGCATCTGCAAGCAGACTTTGCAATCAATTTTTACTGACTGGAAACAGAAGAATTACAGCTGACACAGCTTCCCCGGGATAATTTCCCTCCCACGAAAGGGTGCGGGCGGCGCTTTCTGCCCTCTTCCAACATGGAGGCCGTTCCGCTGCCCTCTCCTAAAATGGCGCCGGCGGCGCTTGCTGCCCTCTTCTATTATGTCCCGTCCCTCACAGCCTGGCTTGAAGCAGGGACCGCCCAGGCGCTGGGCTTCCTTCCATCTTCTTCATGTCCCCGGGGGCTCTCTTCAAAAACCTCTTTCCCCTTGCCCTGCCCCAGCCCCAAGGAGCGTGGCAGGCTGCATTGGCCCTTGGGCTGCCAGGTGGGACTGGCTCCAGGGAACCGTGGCTTCCTTTTGGGGGGTGGGGGGGTTGCAATCGTCTCTGGGATCCGAGGTGCCACCTTCTCTCCGTCCTGCCCCCCGCAGCGCACAGAGCAACTCCGTGCATCAGGCATCAGACTCGGGGCAGCAAGTCTTCGTTTCGCATCTCCCCGGAAGGTAGTACTTTGGTTGCGATAAGACCGTATTTCCAGAGCAAATATTCAAAGTACAAATTCTTTAACCTGAGAAGATTGGCTAGAATGTAGGTGACACATCCCCCCCCCCATATGATTTTATGGTTTTTACATAATAATTTGGGGGAGGTGTTTACTATTGATATTTGTGAAGTAATGTGCTGTATGCAAGGTCTCTTCCTGGTACAATGTATAATTTCTTAAGATCACTCCCTTTCTTGGTCCCAAAATAATCTGCCAGGTGGTCATGGCCAGTGATAATGCTAATGACCTACTGTGCTAAATTTTACCAAGACTAAAGAAAAATGCATTTTAAGAACGGGGGGGGGGGGGCTAATTTGGAAGCTCTCTGGCAAATGGAAAGCTTGCCTTTTCCAGACTTTAGAACTTACACACACACACACACATTTAAAAATGGTATTTGATGGTTAAAAAGATAATCATACGGAGCTTTAAAAGCAGGGTGTTTTTTTCTTAAAAAAATGAACAGCCCATATTAAGTATGGGGAATGGCTAAGGCCAGCAACTGAACCAAACTTCAATTTTCCGGTAATTTTAACAGTCATTCAAATTGCTGAACTAGGATTCTGCAACAACAGCTCGTGCCACAGCTTTGGAATCCATTATCCGTTCTCAGAATATAGGAAGCTGCATTTCAGAATTATTAGTCAACCCAAATAAAAATTGCCAACACTGACTTGCTCTTCAGGCAAAAAAGATTCCCATAGAGATGCTGGGGATTGAATCTGGGATCTTTAGCTTGCAAACACAGTGAGCTACAACACTTCTGCCTCTTTTTATATCCTCACTGTGGTAGGTATCTGAATCCTCCCCCCCCCTTAAAATAAACAACTTATTAATATTGAACAAAACTATTAAACTTGTTTGCCCAGTACTCTGGATACAAATATTGTAAGCAGAACTGACAATAAGCTGCTTGAAGTAGATTAAAAAAGAGAGAACAAGAGCAGGAGGCAGCTTGCTTTCTTTTTATATGTTCCCCCTTCCCCATTTTGTATGCATAAAGATGTCCATACTCCCCCAATTCCTGTTCTTGTTTCAGACCTTACTTGTACTTATCCTAAGGTTACCAGATGTCCCTGTTTGCAAGGAACAGTCCCCGGATTTACAAATCAGTCCCCTGACAAAATCCATCTATTTAATAGGAAGTTGAAAAGTGTCCCCGGATTCATTGAAAAAATCTGGTAACCTTAACTTACCCCCCTTTCCCAACTGTCTCACTGGCGCAGCTTACTTCACAATTTTATTTCAGAAAGAAGCAGAAGCAGAGTGACAGGTCAGACTTTATTGTCCCCAGACCATATAGGAGGTCTCAGGACCCCAGGTCTTAGTCAATTAAAGCAAATGGTGCACAAATGGTTCAGTCTCAGTTCCCTGTTAGAATTGATCAGGAACCCTAAATGCCCTCCCTCCAACTGGCCTTTAGAATATTTGAGAAAACACAAAACTCTTTTCTCTATGCGTGCAAATATCCATGTCAATTTATAATAAAATATCTGTTTTTCTGTAACTAGTTTCAATACCCAGGATGAGTTATAACTCTTCCTTCTTGAGTCTTGTACAGAATGCGATCTTTCCAAAATGTGTTCATGAGAAATTGTGGGGAAATTTTACGATTGAACAGCATTTGCATATCCTCTTGTATTTGATCCACTGCAAGTAGATAGCTCCCTTTCATGATGCTGCTTTTAACTGTTCTGTGGAGGCAGATTTTCATATTTCCTAAAACTAGAATTAGGGAAAGAGCCCCTAAAATAAATAAGAAGAAAATGAGAATAGAAATGACTGGACAAGTAAGTAAGTAGTAGTAGCAGCAGTAATCATCATCATCATCATCATCATCATCATATACCCCACCCATCTGGCTGGGTTTCCCCAGCCACTGTGGGGCGGCTTACAGCACATAAAAAATTGTAAAACATTAGACAATATATTTTTTTTTATACAGGGTTGCCTTCAGGTTTTGGTTAACCAAGGTGGTTCCCTCCAAATGTTGTTGGACTATCCCATGATAACTGAGGCTGACAGTCCAACATCATCTGGAGTGAACCACACTGGCTACCCCCGTCCTATGCTGTATTTTGCTATGGTTATTGGGCATGTGGGGGAAAGGGTGTTTCTTATACCTTGAAATACTCTCACAATAGGTTTATACAGCTCTGGGATCTTCCTCTCAATCATTGGTCTGAGGTTCTCTTTCAACTTGTTGTAGTTCTTTTTCAGTTCTTGTTGATATTCCCTTTGGTCAGCAGTAATCAGGTATTTATTTTTCTCCACTGCTTCACCACATCTGTTCCCCCAAAATGAAGAAAACAATTTTGTTGATTAATATAACCGCACAGTATTGGACCATGTGCATCTTGTAATTAAGTTTGGCTGGGACTGAACTTGAAGTTCAGTCAAGACTTTTTAGTCTTGTTACTAGGATCAATTTAGTGTTCAATGGGACAATAATTTCACCAGAGGCTGCATTACATGCTACAGTGGGGATTGTGTAATTTGTTTATATCTTTGCTGTGAAGCCAGCTAACGCCTAAGAATGTGCCGACATAGATTTAGTGTAATTCCAATTTTAACAGATTTTACTTTGCCACTTTACTCACCTCATTTACTCACCTTAACTTGCTGTGATGTCGATAAAGTTTTAGATCCTCTGGAATTTCAGCCAGGAGCACTTGAGCTACTTCTAGTGGTCCCTTATAGAAGAACATAAAATTGTATTACATAAAGCATATTTCTTGAGGAAAGGATGATCAGGTATCAACCAGATCAGGCATCAACCAGAATTACTATCATGTGAAACCCAATAAATGGCAAAACAGTAATCTAGTCAGATATCAGGAAGACACAACTTTCAGGGCAACTCAGTTGCAACAGGAGGGAGTAGGAGAGGAATTCAGTGGGACAGTACAGTGGTACCTCGGGTTACATACCCTTCAGGTTAAATACGCTTCAGGTTACTGACTCCACTAACCCAGAAATAGTACCTCAGGTTAAGAATTTTGCTTTAGGATGAGAACAGAAATCAGCGGGAGGCCCCATTAGCTAAAGTGGTGCTTCAGGTTAAGAAGTTTCAGGTTCTTAAACGGACCTCCGGAACAAATTAAGTGCGTAACCAGAGGTACCACTGTACAGTGGTGCCCCGCAAGACGAATGCCTCGCAAGATGAAAAACTCGCTAGACGAAAGGGTTTTCCATTTTTTGAGTCGTTCCGCAAGACGAATTTCCCTATGGGCTTGCTTCGCAAGACGAAACGTCTTGCGAGTTCTTGCGAGTTTGTTTCCTTTTTCTTAAAGCCGCTAAGCCGTTAATAGCCACTAAGCCGCTAATAGCCGCTAAGCCGCTAATAGCCGTGCTTTGCAGGATGATTGGGCTGCAGTTCTCATGTTTGGGCCTAAGAAGTCACTGGGATTAGTGACAAGGAAATGTCAGACTGATTTCCATTAATAGGTGCATGAGTGTGCATGTGCACATGCCATTTTAATGTTTTGCTTTTGCTGCTAACATGCAGAGAGAAGAAAAGAAGAAGAATCAACAGTATTCTGACAATATATCTGATTTACTGTGGCCCCCACAGAACCTTGAAGCACCATCTGCAGCATTTTCGGATCTGGTAGCACCTGTCTGGTAGCAACAGCCAGTTCAAGCGTTTTCTCTTGCATGTATTCAATAGCTACTTCAGCTGGCATCAAAACAAACTGTAATTACAGAGGGACAGGTAGGTTGCAACTCTTTAACATAGAAACTTCAGTTGGCACAAGGATGATAAGCTGTTTTTATGTGGTCATCTTCTGAGGGTTGTTTTTTAGCCAAAAGTAGATAGCATGGTCTTGCCACTCTCTGCCACTTGATAAAAGACTGGCAAAAAAGTGAGAGGAAGTTAAATGAACCACTCCCATCAGATAACATAAATGATACAGGAGGGGAAGAAGGGTAGGGAAAGCAGAAATGACAATGTTAAGAGTGTCCAGTCCCGCATGCTGTAGCTCAGTTTTTTGAGATTTAATATTCATTTGGTCTCAACGTGGATGATCCCATTGAATCTTGTATGATTCCTGCACATTTTGTTTTAGTTCTATTACTTTGGAAGCAGACATTACTTTTGAATGACATTGATTCTAGTTTTGATGGGGAAAGCATGCATTGTAGTCAATATGGTCCCCCTCTTATACTGCTCACTCGGTTTTCCTCGTGGGCGTCCATCCTGAGTTAAAGTACATACATAAATCGTCAGAGGTTGAAATTTTTCTCAAAATTGGTCACTCTGTCTTTTATCTCATAGTTATCAAAATAGAGTTCCACAAAGGTAATTTGTATGTAGGCCTGGAAAGACGGGGAAGTGGAAAAATCTTTTATATGTAAGCTTATGTCAATAAAAATTATTTAAGCATGAAGCTGAACCTGCAACTGAGAAACACATTATGCTGCTCACACAACAAACTTGATCTGTTTAGATGGAAGAATGAAGGTGCCCTTCTACAAACAGTCCCTATAAGCAAAGAAGCTTGAAGTGCTGGCTTGCCGCTTGATTTTCCCTATGGCACCCTAGTCATTTGTGCCCCAAACTGAGAGCAAGCAAGGCAACTGTTTCCAGTGGGAGCTTGTCTTTCCAAAGCCAAACCGAACTGCAACTGCCAGGGCTAAATGCTCTAAAGCTGATTTGCACAAGCTCTGCTTATTGGAGGAGGTTGGAGGACTACCTATCTGAGGACAGCAGCCTACACTGCAACCCTGGTTTCTTCTCCCCCTCATTATAAAAATCTTGTGTGGTTAAGTGAAGATAAGGAGTTTGAGGCAAACAACAGAAGATAAAAGGTTTTGCCAGGAATGACTGGACAATAACCTCTGTCAGCTGGGACAGTTTATAGAAGGAACCAGGACTTCTGTATTATATACAAGCAGAGAAGAACGAGTGTAGCCAGGACGTGTGCACTGCACTGGGCATCCAAGAGGCTAGCTACTCCGCTGCCTCTGACAAGTGTGATATACATGTAAACCATGAGCTATATGTGGGAACTAAGACATGTACCCAGTCCATACATGCAACAGATGCAACAGACACTGGCACACATGTCTGTGACCTATTGTCTCATTTTCTTGTCATTTGAACTATGCTGCATATGCCTTTCACATATGTATAAGTGTGTTGCAATTGTGTTTATAGTATGCTTTTGTCACACACATTACAAACATGATAGTGTGATGGATAGTGTTATATTTCACCCATGCTCCTTTGAAATCTTGCATCTATGCATAAGAAATTCAAATAATTTTGCCTTTGGTTGATAAAATCTTTTGCAAGTTTTTCAGGGGGAAATTGTTGCAGTGAAACATTGTTGAGCTTTGTGGAAAATGTCTATTTCCCTAAGAACTTGCCAACACGAACCAAAATTGACCTACTGAATATCCCAGGAGCTTTGGCTGACAACTGATGTGGTAAAATGTGAAAAGCAAGTGATGTTTTTCTGTGAGTTTAGCTGGCAGCTTAATTTTCACTACTTCATAGAAATCAGGAGATCTACATTTGAAAACATAAAATAAAACAAACATATGTAGCAGTATTAAGGCCAAGTAGTGGAATTCCAACTTGATCAAGGAGGTGGAGAGGAGCCTGTGAACCTGCATCCTTCTCCTGGCTTTTTAAGCACTATGCAGTCATGGTACCTACACTGTACCTTCACCAGCCACCTCTGAGGATTTCAGTGTCACTATTTTGTTCAAAAAATCTTTGGTGGATCAGAAGAACAACTTTATTGGATCAATTTCACCACTCCTTTTGCAGAAATATTTGCTATTCAGGAAGACAGATTCATGCACCTTGTTCACCAACACAACCAGCTCCACCAAACTACTCAATATCCATCACGAAGATTCTCCATCAAGCAGTTTCCAAGTGCCCCTGCCTGCCTTTGCGATGGCACTGAGGACTGCAGCGAAGTGAGCGCCTGCAGTCGGGGGGGGGGCATTTGAGGCTGGGGTGAAGTTGGTGGCATTCGGGAAGGGCAGCTTCCCTCTCTCACTCCCGCTCCCCTTCGTTGTGGGCAGTGGGCAGGCCCAATCTGCAGCAGCAGGCAGTCTTCCTTCCCTCTGTTTCTCACAGAGCGAGGGCAGGGGGACTGGAAGGGGAAGAAAGGGCGGAAGAGCTGCCACTGCCATGTTGGGTGAGGACCGGACAGAGGCACCACCGGAGGAGAGGCAGGCGCACCTGAAGGGGGTGGAGGGCGGAAGTGACGCCAGCACTGCCATGTTGGACAAGGATAGGGGGCAGTTTCTGTAAGTTCCTTGTGGCTCAAACAGTTTTCTCTGCAGATTTAAGACAGCTATTAGGTTTTAAGGCATCTTAGTTTCTATACTCCTGTGCATGGAAAGCACTAAGATGCAACACACGGACTAAGCTGCATCCTCATGTCTGTGGATGCAGATTCCAAATCACAGCCTGCTAGATTTGTAACCTCATTTTTTAACTTCAGCAGCTCTATTTCCTTCCTGTTCCATGGTATTTTTCTTCCTCATCTTCAACTGCATTTGTATTTGTTGATGCCTCTCCTTCCTTTTCCTTACTCTTAACTAAAATGGCATTGCAATTTCTCCCCCTCAAAAAGAAAACATAACTTTTCTGTTTCACTGTTGCCTCCTCACTTCAAATACTTTTTACACAGGGTTTCTCTTTGTCGGCAACCATGACAAAACAGGGACGCACAAGAAGTTGTCACACTTCTCCACCAACTCAGTCCTGCAGTGCTGTAGTTGCTGCCACCACCTCTCCACTTATTCCTGCAGCCACAGATGGGAGGGAACCAGGTATGCAGGAAAACAATTACTTTTTAAAAGGTCCCCAAATCAATGCCTCGGCACTTCTCAATGCAAGTTGCACCTTTGGAGTGTAAAGGCACCATGTATTTTCTCTGAACTTCTCCCAGTCGCCAAAAGAGTGCGCTGGTCACTTACAACACCAACCCTAAACTCCCAGGAGCCCAAATGCCAACCATCTAGGCATGTGGGGGATCCTCAAACCCAGAGGTGGGCAACCACACACACTCCATGGTCCAATTGGGAATAAAAGGTAGGGAGAAAGAATACAAAACAAAAACAAAAAACCTGGAGGCAGTGGAAGACGGTCCAGGGGGACACGAAGAGTCGGACACGACTAAACAACAACACCTACTTTTTTGGGGGGCCTCGGGAAGCGCAGCGCCTCCTTCGCCCCCCACAGCTGAGGGAAAAGCAAGGCGAATAGAGGCGCCTCAAACTCTTATCGATCCACACACCCGACACCCTCCCGCCGCCCACCTCCCGGGTCTCGCCCAGGCAGCTGGCGGAGGAGGAGAGCCGGTTGGGACGGAGGATTGAAAGGGAGAAGGGCCGCCTTTCTCGGCGCTCCCTCGTGGATCGGGGCCGCTCCCCTCCCCCCACCGTGTACAAGAAGGCGGCCCGCCGGCAGCTAGCAGGGTGCCTCTTCTGTGAGGAGCGCGGTGGCGGAGGGCGGGGAGGGGTCGGCACGTCATAATACTGTAATAATAATAATAATAATGGTGATGATAATAAAATACAAAAAAGCCCGCCTCCTCTTCTTCCCCCCTGGTAGGATGGAATCCGCTGCCGAGCCCACCCCCAGCCCGCCAAACTCTGGCGCCAAGCAAGGTAATGGCGGTGGGGGCAGATGCCGTGTTGAGGGCAAAGAGAGTCAAGCTGAGGC